GAGCGGAAGCGCCCGCAGCGCCGGCAGGGAGTGCGGCGGTCCGCCGCGCAGACCGCCCTGGCTCGCTGGTGCCTGCTGCGCTGCTGGGCGAGGCAGGGGCGGGAGTGCGAAGCTCGGCGCGGCGCGTGCTGAAATCACGTGTCCTCTCACATCATCATCATCGCCCTAGCTGCGGATACCAGTTGATGACGTTGGACCTCCAAGCATAACGTTAGGCCTAGCTTTAGGCCTAACTTCAGGCCAGCGCACACCCGCGTCCCCTCCTCCAGCTGCTCCGGCAAGAGTTCGGCTGGCTCCTTAGCAAGGATGACGCCGTTGCTATGGAGCCCCCCCCTTCACGTCAAAGAGCTGCGCGTACCGGCTGACAGTGTCAGACCCAGAGCGTAACGATAGGCCTAACGTTAGGCCTACCGTCAGGCCAGCGCATACCCGCGTCCCCTCCTCCCGCTACTGCGCCAGGAGTTCGGCTGGCTTCTTTGCATGATGCGTCGCAGCCAATGGGAATTTAGGTGCCGTTTCGCTCAGCCATTGGGAATTTAGTTACCGTTTTTCGCTGCTACAGACAACGCCGGCTTCGCTCCATGGAGAAGTTAAGGCTTTCGCATTAAAACTAAGCTGTTCTTGGTGTTCGTCACCGAAATAGGCACATGTCGCCTCTTATTCTTACTGGCTGTTCCGTAGTTCTCGAAATGTATACAAACAACAAGAATAATTTTTTGTCATCATCCCGCTATTAAGAGGCTAACCTCTCGTTGCGAGCTTTCTTTGCTTAACAATCTCGCTTAGTTTCGAGTTTGAGTAGCCATGTCTTTATACGGTTAGTGAAGTTGGAGTATGCACATTGTTGCATGAGAAGGAGTCAGTGTAAACATCAAGGAAAAGGGAAAGAGCAAGAAAGAAAGAAAGATGAATAGCGAGATACTATGTAATGAGCCTCTGCATTGGGAGTTAGAAGAACACAATTATTTCCTAACCGCCGCCAAAACCAAAGAAGTAGAACGCCCCACCTCCACGTGAATTATGTGTGTTTCGTCAGCAATCAGACTTAGGGGCGACGGTGTTGCGTCATCTAGACGAGGGACAATGGCAGCTACTCCCAGGAGTTTAATCAAACGTGATAGCGCAACCTCCGCTTGCCGCAGTACCTCGAAAGTGAATCCATACAAAGCGACAACAACAAAAAAAGAATTCCCAACTGATTTAAATGTGACAATTCTTTTTGTAGGGATTTTAGTTTGCGTTGATAAGCATGGTGGAAGGTCTTTCTGGCCCAACAGGTTCCCCAGAAATGTAATTTTATATCAAGTTTTTTTTTTTACACAAAATAGGCTTAGTACTAGGTTCCCATAGAGAAAAAACGTTTAACGCAGCATTCGCTGTATATACACCAATTAAATTGCTCCGCTATATTTAGCGGGAAAATCAAGCATAAAAAAAATTTACGTCATTCTGTGTGTACTTTACCTCTATTATAAAGGTCAAAGAGTCGAATTTATTTGTTCCAAAGCGCTTGTTTAGTTCTTGTTTTGAGCATGCGCCCATTTTTTCGCACAACATACGGTGTACTGAGTGACATGCGTCCAACGTCTTGAGAACAACTCAGATGGGAAACTGCCATAGAGCCTGCTCTGCAAAAGTGGCATTGATCCGTACTTGACAATCAGTCAGTCAGTCAGTCAGCAACTTTATTGAACCTTATTAAATGGGCTTATGCCCAAAACGAGGGTTCGTTAGGGAGGGGAATAGGGGAGGGATCTTCTTTCCGACAATCGGGTCTTTAACCGATGCTCTATTTCTAGTGTCCTTAGAATCACTGCCAACTGTGTTTCGTAGTCCTCTGAGGCCAGGAGCACACACCAGAGAAGATCTTCGTCTTGATCGTCCAGTCTGCTTTGGAGCGTGGCTGGTATCGGGTTGCTCGGGCACGTCCAATACGTGTGCGCCCAGCCACCGTCAACACTACCACATTCCTCGCACTTGTCGCTGAAGAGATCCGGCCAGATTCTGCTCAGCATGCGGGGAGTTAGGGTGTTATGTAGCTGAAGTCTTCTCCACGTCGATTCTTGGGTTCGCGAGAGTCGCTTATGAGGGGCGCCCATGAACTTGCGCTGCATTCGGATACTTCTTAGAATATCGTTGTACGCTCGAGGGCCTCTGTCGTATGGCGCGGCCCCGTAGCAGTGGTCTCCGTCCGTTGTGGCTCGGCAGCTCGTCGCCCGGATTTGTTGTGCACGGGTTACGAGTGCGTGGGCCTCTTCGTTTCCCGAGTGTCCAGAGTGTCCGGGCACCCAGGTTAACGAGAATCTGGATCCTGTCTGCGGTGTCTTCTTCTCAAGGATCATGCGGGCTGCCTTGCCAACCTTTCCATCACCAAAGTTCGAGATGGCCGTTCTCGAGTCTGAGGTGATTGTGGCTTGTTTGGTTCTGGATGCCGCCATGGTTAAGGCCAAGGCGACGGCTACTTCTTCTGCCTCGTCAATATTCTCCGCACAGACAGAGGCCGTAGTCTTGTCGTTGGTGCTGCAGACTGCTATCACGTACTTGTTCCATGTTCCTGGGCACGGGCCTGCGTCTGCGTGGTAAACATGTTCCCGGTCGCCGTGGAGCTTGTCCAGTGCTTTGGCTCTGGCTTCTCTCCTGTCCTTATTTCTCTCGGTGTCCATGTTTTTCGGTAGGGGCGGAACTCGTACCGAATCTTTCCATTCGTGGGATATTGCATTTCTGCTTGTGAGGACGTGTTGTTCACATTCCTTGATTCTCTGGAGAGTCCTGCGTCCCGTTTCCGTTCTAGAGAGCCGTAGTACTTGCGACTGCTTCTGTGCAGCTCTCATTTCCTCGAAGCTGTTGTATATTCCTAGTTGTTCCATCGCTTCTGTAGACGTGGATACTGGTATGCTCAGTGCTATCTTGAAAGCTTTCCTCACAATTAAGTTGAGTTGCTTGATCGAAGCCTCGGTCAGATCCATGTACGGCGCCGCGTACATTATCCTGCTGAGGACGAAGGCTTGGACTAGTCGGCATGTTCCATTCTCCTTCAATCCGTAGCTCTTTCGTGATACTCTTCTCACGAGTCTCGCTACGTTGTCGGCGTCTCTCTTGATGTCAGCGATGAGACTGCTCTGCTCCCTCTTGATGGTTACCGTCATGCCGAGAATTCGAACTTTTTCGGCTCTCGGTACGTCGATTTTTTGCAGCTTGAGGTAGAATTCCATCTCTTCTCTTAGAGCTCTCTGCGACGGTGGTCTGACTAGGAGCGCCGATTTTTCAGTTGCAAGCTCCAGACCCATCTTTGCAGCTTCTTCTTTGACAATTTCTACGCCGGCTTTCATCACTTTCCCCATGTATGGTGAGTGGTGCGCTGTCCAAATCGTGATGTCGTCAGCGTAGATTGCGTGCTGCAGCCCCGCGACTTGCTCAAGTTTCCGCGACATTGGCAGCATGGCAATGTTGAAGAGGAGCGGAGATATTACTGCTCCTTGAGGAGTTCCGCTGCCAACATTTACTGGGAAGGTTTCGGACGTGTCTCCTTCTAGCTGAATGTTTGCCGTCCTATCTGATAGGAACGAGCGAACATAGTTGTACGTTCGCTTCCCTAGTCCTAGCTCCGAGATTTGCCTGAGTATAGCCGCGTGTGATATGCGATCAAAGGCTTTCTTCAGATCAAGTGCTGCTAGGGCGGTCCATTTCTTATTGTCTTCTTCCTCTCTGAGCTGTATAAACACGTCCTGCGTCGACAGGTGTCTTCGAAATCCGAACATCTGGTGCGTAAACAGGTTGTTCTCCTCCATGTACTCTTGAACACGTACTTGAATAATGCGTTCAAGTAGCTTGCCCACGCAAGATGTGAGGGAAATCGGGCGCAAGTTCTCCAACATGAGTGGCTTGCCCGGTTTCGGTATAAAGCAGACCGTGGCGTGTCGGAAACTGCTTGGAAGGTTTCCGCTAGTCCATAGCTCGTTAAAGTATTCCGTGATTCGCTCCACGGAATTGTCGTCAACGTTTCGTAGCATGCGGTTCGTAATCTTGTCTTGGCCTGGTGCGGAAGTTGTTTTGACTCCAGCCATGGCCTTTCTGACTTCGCTTTCGGTGATGGGCGCGTCCAGCTTGTCGTTTATGGCCCTTTCGCATTCCGTTGGAATCTCAGTAGTAGATGGCGGAGATTCTAAGTATTGCGTCCTGAGTTTGTTATAGATTTCGTCATCCTTGAGGTCTCTGACGAGTTTCGCTAGGAGTTTGCGCTTCTCGAGTTTGGTATCTTCCGGCGCCAACATGCGCCTGAATAGGGTCCATGGACTCTTGGTGTGAAGCCTTCCCTGCAGTTCGTCACATATTTGCTGCCACTGTTCTTGATTTAATTTCTGAGCGTGTTCTTCAATCTCCTTACTGAGCTTGGCCGCTTTTTTCCTTAATTTACGGTACCGCTTTCCGGTGTTCCTCCATCGTCTGTATATGGAGCGGTAAGCTTCTAGCATATGCTGGAGTTTACTATCCATAGTCCGGGCTTGGGTAGGATTTTCTACTTCGGTCGTAACAGACTCGTGATCTTCGACTAGCTGTGCGCACCATTCTTCGATCGTGTGCAACGGCCTGTCTTTCCGTTTCTGCCTGAACTTGTCCCAGTCCGTGCATTTCTGCGTTGGGAATTTTGCGCTCTTGTATCCGGGCAGGGGGACCCTCGTCTCGATGACGTAGTGATCGCTGCCGAGATTTTCACGCGTGTTCAGCCACGTGTAGTCTTCGATGTTGATACCAAATGTGAGGTCCGGGTTCGTGTCTTTCTGAGCACTGTTTCCGATCCTGGTGTAGTCCGCAACTTCGTTGAGGAGAAAAGTTTCGTGCAACTCGGCTTGGTTGGCGATTTCCCTCCCCTTGGGTGTGTCTCTGCCGTAGCCCCATATGGTGTTGTGCGCATTGAAATCGCCCAGCACCAGTGTCGGATTTTCACCCGCTACGCGGCTCGTCTCCGCAAAGACCTTGGCGCATGCGCTTGTGGTGTCTTTGGGGTTCGAGTAAACGTTACAGATGAATAAGCTTTTGTGCTTCTTTTTCTTCGGTATAATTTCCGTGACTATTGCTTTCACCGATTCATCCAGGTCAACTTCGTGTTGCTTGACTGGGAGATGTCGTCTGACGAAAGTATGAATCGTTTTTCCGGTTGGCTGAACTTCTGCATCGAATCTTGCGTACCCTGGCAGGTTACATTTGTCTCCAGATTCTTGTACCGCTATAATGTCCGGAGGGGTTTCCGTATCCATGATCAACATCTTGAGCGAGTTGATCCGGGCGCAAAGTCCTCCGCTATTCCACTGCCACACGACGATGTTATTACTGTTGTCCATTGGCGCGCTGTTCGAGCCGCTCGAGCCGTTCGAATACGTTCTGGAATGCCTTGTCGTGGTTGTCCATTCTCTGTTTCATTTCGTTGAGCATAGCCTCAAGCCTAGCTAGTCCCGCCAGGATGGCGTTCTGGTTGGGCTCTTCTTTTCTTCTAACCTTCCCGGGCCTGCTGGTCTTGGTTTCGTCACTTGTCTGTACAGAATTGACGGTGCTCTCTGAGTCTGTGCGCTTACGCGGACGTACACTGGGCAGAGACGGAGGCGGTGCCATTTCCACTTCTTGGACTGTCGTCTGTTCATTAGGCGGTTCCGTAACCAGTGGGTTTGAGCCGTGCCTCTCCTTCTGTAGCTCCCGTAGGAGTTGCTGGTTGAGTCTTCTGAGCTCTTCCTGTTTTCGCAGGCTCTCCTCGTGCTTGCGTACGAGGTCTTCGTATTTCTTTTCGAGCTCCTTAATTCTAGGATTGGAGTCTTGCTTCTTCTTGCTTGCACCTTTCTTCTTGCGGAGGGTTTGAGCGTAGCTCAGCTCCTCTTCCGAGTCTTCTCCCGCTGTAGTGACGTTACTCAGTTCTGGAAAATTCTTCTTTCCCATGTCTATTTTCACCGTCTCCCGATCTTGTTCTGGAGTGCTCTTTTTCGGAGACCTCGGCTCGGGCAAAGGCTTGTATCTGTCCTTACATTCCTTTCCTCCGGTGTAGTGGCTGCCGCCGCAGATGACGCATCTGGGTTTGCACGTATACTCCGTGCGCATGCCTGGAATTTTCCTGGGGAAGTCGTGCTCCTCGCCGCAGTTGGGACAAATTTGGCTGAGTCCGTACGGGCAGGAGTCTGCTCGGTGTCCCATCTCTCGGCACGATGTGCACGCTTGCTTTTTCTCTTGGTATAGGTGGTACCTATTGGCACAGCAGTAGAATACTATAAATCCAGGAAGTTCCGTGGTGTCGAGGGTGACGAGAATCGAGGTGGTCCGGCCCATCCTCTTCGCGTCGGATATAGGTATCTTGGGGTTCTCCAGTTTGAGTTGCTCGTAGATCTCCTGGTCCGTGAACGGGATAGAAATTGGGAGGCATTTGGAGACCACTATTCTTACAGACTCCTTTCGGTTGGCCGTGTACGCTTGGGTTTCTACTTCTGCTCCCTGGTACTTGAGTGTGGTGATACCCAGGTACTTCTGCGCCCTTTGCTTGTCGTTTGTCCTGATGGTGATCGTGTTGTTCATGGTGTTCTTCGTCACGAGGTCCGTACCGATCATGTCTCGAGGCGATACTCCGGTCGCGGTGGCGATCGCGGCCGTGATTTCACCGATGACGATAGTCTTCAGGTCCAGTCCTTTCGTACGAATGATGATTCCGTATGCTCTGTCCTCGTCCTTTATGGTGGTCCGGAACTTCCTCGACAATTTGACTCGAAGCTTCTTTCCACCCACAGTCCTCCATTGCGACTTCTCTCTCGCCGCGTCTGTTTCCGGTGAGCTGGCTTGCTTCTCCTTTTCTTCATCGCGCGTGATGTAGTTCATGAGTGTGGCTAAGTTCCGCTGCTCCCTCGTTGCGACCGCCATGGCGCCTCGTGAGGGACGGAGCGTTAGGCCTAGCGCTAGGCCTAGCCGCCCGACTTGAAATTTCGTCCGAAATAGGCCTTTCTTGCGGAAGTTTCGTGTAAAACGACGATTCCGTGGCTTCGCTATGTCGTCCGCTGATCGAAAAGAGTTAAGACTCACCCCCAAGGGCCCAAGTTCCGCGGCGAAACGCCGAAAATCCAGGAGCGCAAGGGAGACGCGTCCGCACTGCTCGACGTCTCGAGAAAGTCCCGTACTTGACAACCGAACTAATGACGATCGCAACGCCGCCATTTCTCCGCAGCGGACGCTCGGTGAACTGCACGGCTGCTTGTACTGGTTTGGGAGTATCGCGTTCGATAGCGTCCACTATGACTGTTCTATTTCGGCTGTAATCGGCCATTTTCTGCACCGAAACATATAGGGTTGAAGAAGTTTTAGGGATGATAACCTTATCTCCCAAGTGGACGCGCCGCGAATTAGCACCGGTTAGGACGCAACCAGGTCGGGACGCGCCACCTGAATTCACCGGTAAGACATGGCTGTATAGAAAGAATATTAATCGTTCCACGGAACCCTGTAAACTAGAATTTTATGTAAACATCACGCTCCTGTCATTTTTTGCTAACTTTCAGTAATATTTGCTACAAAAAAAAAAGCTTCTTTTCCGTTTGTTTTTGCGCAAAACATGCTTTCTAAGAGCGCATGGTGACCACAGTAAATAAAAAAAAAAGTTTAAGCCGCCATCTTGGCACCTCGAGCCTGTGGGTTTCCGTACCCTGGGAACATTCAGTGACTCTAGCAGTGGCCACATAAAGCAACGTCCATGTTTCAAGTCATCTCTATAGGGTGGCGCTAGTATCGTATTTATCTAAGTCTCGGTGGACGCCAGCGGCGCAGGTCTCAAGGAAGACTCTCCCAAATAAATGTTCAGATAACGTTGCCGCCGTCTAACACTAACTCGAAAAAAAAAAAAAATCTCGACAGATTTTATTACGCTCGCGAGTCTTTGCATCCTCGCCTTCAGTCGCTTAGTGGCGCCGTCTCGAAAGCCGATCGGAAGACGGAAGAAGAAACCTCTTGATGCGCATGCCTCCACTGTTTCGAGCAAGCAAGGACAAAAGGTAACGCGTGCACGAGCAACACCACCCAGGAGACGAGGCCTGGGCAATACGTCACCGTTAGTGGACTGTTTCAGTATCGCTAACGACGCGCGGGCGGCGATACTGACGCAAGTTTGGCGGCTCTACCTGGACGCACTAAGAACGACGTTTGGGAGGGTATTGGCACAGGCCTTGTCTTCCATGTGCTATTGGCACGAGGCAGCACGAAACGAGAAGTACAAGAAACGGGACAGGTCACGTCACGGCGTATGCGAACAAAAAAAAAAAAATGATGGACACGGAAGAAAGAGATTCAAAGAAGCGAATTTGCATAATTGACGGCGAAGGACGTCGGCAGACGAGCTTAACGAATCTCAAGGACCACGTCTTCTGAACAACCCGCGAGTAAACCCCCCCCCCCCCCCCCCCCCCCCCCCCCCCGTTCCCGCGGGTTGTTCAGGAGCTCTTGATTTCCAGTAGGATTGAGCGCTTCGGATACTTTTGTTAGCTGGGTTTTGCAATGCGTATTAGAAGGGACGTTTTTATGTTTTTACGAGGTGGGTTTTTCTTTTTATGAGGGAGTAGAACCAACTCACCAATATTTATGAAATAAACATTTGGTGGGTTCGATCTGCTCACAATCTCCTCAAAGCAAACTGAAAAAAAAAAAAAAAAAAAAAAAAAAAAAACAGGCACAAGAATGGAGAATAACAGCTAACGGCCCGGGTTGAAGAGTTAAAAAATAAAAATATAACGACACCCAGGCTTTTATAATGTGTTGTATGGTCTCGCTGCAGATCGATTATTCGTTTAGGGCAGTGGAGTGGGTAAACAGTTTTTTTTATACGTGTAATTGCCTGAGAATACCCAGCATTACGTAGCGGCATTATACAGTAGGGTGGTATTGACGTGCAATGTTTGAAAAACGTGTAGAACCTTAGGAGAAGACATGTTACGTTTGAAACGAGTGACGAGAACTTACTATACGTTGCCATGCTGAAAAAAACATTTGATGCAAGGCAATATATTCGGCTAACGCACCCGATACTGCAATCTGATGGCGGCAATCAATTGCTTTCAAAGGATCCTTGTCGCGGCGCTCGTTGCCTTTGTGTTTTTTCTATCACCGGTTAGACAAACACGCACACAAAAAATGACTACATGCTTGGTCACTGTGCCAAATCTGTTTAAATGGAGTAGCTCTAAAGGGTGGGTGGTGCATAGGGTAAGATAATCCTTAGTCTATCTGTGCCTGGGAACTATAGTGCTCTTAGTGCAGGTGGTGCCTAGGGCAAGGTTTTGCTTGGAAACATACTACGTCACACCGTTGTCTTTTTGTTAAGCTGTGCGCGTTTCCCTTCGTCACCACCTGTACACGAAGCCTTTGCTCCGAAGTTTCTGGGTCACCGAGAGAGGGCAGGCCCGCTTTCCTGCTCATTCTACTCCTCTTCGCTCCGTGCGCTCTTTCTGCACCACCTGTTTCTGCTTCTCTCTTTCTTGCCCTTTTCTGCCCTCTTCGCTCCGCGTGATTTCTCACACCACCTGCTTCTGCTCCTCCTGTTCCTGCGTGCTGGGTTCGGAGCTTTCTTGAGGCGCACTCGGCTTTTACGCCGGTGACCGGGGTTCAATTCCTAACACCGGTTGCAGTTTTTCTTTTTCTTTTTTTCAAGATTGTTTAATCGTTACGGACTGACCGACGTACACATTTCTTCCTTACGAAGATCCTGAGGTTGGCTGGCCCCATAAGGCTACCGCTTTAAAACTCCGGATGACGAGACATTCACTGTACGTGATTGGTGTAGCCGGTCATAGCAAACGCATGAAAACGACGAGTACCGTGACGGTGCATTTTTTTTAGCATCTTGATTGGCTCCATAAGATTGCAGCATTGACTACGGTCGGACTTAGGTATACCGATTTTCTTTGGGACTGCAGTATCGCCCGTGTGTTGAAGTCTGTCCATCTTCGATTGCGTTCGGCGCACTTTACACCGCACTTTTAATTTTTATGCCAAAAATTGTAGGAGTCCAAGGCAAAATAAAGGCATGTTCCAGGGTATTTGTATAATAAAATATACATATAAGCACATTTTAAAGCATTGATTTTTGTGGGCTTTATGCTTGTGTGAGCACTTCTAATGACATCTTAACGCGTCGTCTGCGGAAAGTTTCGAAAAGTTTGATCCATTTAAACACATTTCCAGCAGTGGGAAACAAAAGAAAGGCTTCAAAACAACAGGAGTAAGGAGCCACCGCCTGTGTCGTCAAAAAGTGAGAGAACTCTTTGAAATTCGAATCGATATCTGCTAAATCCTGGATTTGTACGGCGCTAGTTCGTCATTTTGGACTTTGACATTGATTCAAAGCGTGAAAGTGCTGACGCGTCATTAAATAAAGATTGATAGAAATTGTATTTTGTTTCGGAAAGATAAGAAGTATACTGGTTTTTTTGCGTTTTGTTTTGTGCTGGCGTGGGGTGCCGCAACGTCACTTTGTATGCTTCACATAGTTGCGTCGTGATCTCAGAGTTATACTTTGAAGATTGCAGCCCTACTTTTTTTACTGTCTCGTTTGGATCCTTGAGGATGCGTTCAAAATATTGTCGAGACAAATGTGGTGCCGTAAAATACTTGGGCTGCCCGTTGGTCATGTCACTTTGGTCTGTCACTTTGTTTAGATTGTTTGTGACGGCAGTCGGTCGTCTTTGTGCCCTCCATACGTCGAAGTTCGTCCAAAAGCATCGCTTGATATTCCTTACCCGATTTTGCTGACCTCGATTCCATTTGTCTTCTTCGATATCCCACAAGTCGAGGTGGGGGGGGGGGGGGGGGATTGGAGCGACAATTTATGGGGGAGCAACTTTTAACAGCCCATAGAACGCTCAATAGAGCAGAATGTTGTAGTGTTTTATTTCGAGTCACAAATGAATGTGATATCTCTCTTTCAAGGTGAGGTTAGTTCAGGCTTGTACGTAGCGATTTACAAGTACCTAACCGATTGTTGTAATCAATTACAGTTTATTGTAACTTTATAACGATTCAATTACTTTCTGTGGGGTAACGCTCGCTGTAATTCAATTGCTTTTTTGTAACCAATTACAAGTTGTCAATTGCGTTTCCGAAAGAGATGAAATTTTTGAGTTGAGTTTCTTTACGTAAAAAATCGCTCTTACTGCCCGCGCGTCACTTGTCCATGTTGCACCAACGTTGGACACTTTTGTTTACCCTTAAACAACTAAAAAAAGATACGAAGATACAACAAGGATTAGAACGTCAACGCGCTCAGCAAAATTTTGACCGTCGAGCTGTCGAGAGTTCCTCGTTTCGTGTGTACGGGTTGTTGCTATCTGGGTTTGCTGAGCCGGCGCTGCCTGGTGCTGCTCTTCAGCGCAGATATCTTCACCAGGAAATGTGGGAAGATGACTGACGGCAGCTTTGAACAACTGCTGTTGAAGCTTAACAAGGTGTGAATGTTAAAAATAAACAAAATGTTACCAATTATGTCGTTGATGCCTGACGCTTAAGTGCAGAAAAGAAAAAAAAATTGAGTTGAAGCAACAGACTCAGAAGGGAACAGACTCAAAGTCGAAGGAACAGACTTAGACGGACACGTTCCCTTTTATGTCTGTACCCGACAGCGAGTTCTTCTTTTTTTTTCCTTTTCTGCAGCGCAGTTTTAGGTGTTAAACGACATGATTAGCTACCACCAGTTCGCCTGGGCACTTAGTCTTTAAAAAAATGTAACCACTTTGAACGCATACGTATGCATTTTTGATTTCCTCATAAAACGTTAGAAAACGGAACGTGAAAAGTAACCAATTACTTTCTAGTAATGGGTCAATTACTTTTTTATGTTGCAGTAATTGATTACTCTAATCAATTAGATTTTCTAATAAAGTAACTGTAATTTTAATCTTTTTTTTTTTGCAGTAACGCGTAAAAACCTGGACCACTTTTAGTCTGACGTAATTGCGAAGCAAAGAAAGAAATGTTTACCATATGAACTGTGGTTCACTGTCCACGTCATTTTTACAGGCACCTGTGATCGAATCAAGTATAGTGCTGTTTTAGAAAATCTATACTGCTGAACGTTTTTATTTTTTACTCCCGTGATGCGAACTTATACGCTACTTTTATCACTTA